CCCACCAGCTCCTGTAACAGGGAGCTGTTCCTCTAACTCCTTTTATTCTTTATTTTCCTGCTTACTTGGATGGGGACATTTATCTGATCTTGATAAAGGTGCCACAAAGGCATGGCCAGAAGAGAAAGTTGTAAAATCTGGAGTCAAACTCCCACTTTTGAGCACCTTTTTATTCATTGGAAGCTCCAGTGTGGCATTAATGACACCTTAAAGCCCTTTAGCTTGGGAAAATGCAAGGGGAGAAGGAGGCAGTGGGGATCTTTGGTCAGATGGACCTTTCTGAGCTCTCCCAGCCCTGGTGAGGACAGAGTTCAGCATCCCTGGCACGTGCTGTCAGAGCTGGGGCCTTGCAGAGTCCCCTGAAATCCTTTTTTCACTCTTTGCTGTTGTTGTCATTTTATTTTGGCAGCACCTCTAATGTAATTCTGGATTCCCAGTGGCCACGTTCCATCCTGGAAATGCCACCAGACAGGAAGAGAAAGCAAAATCCTCCCAGCCCTTCAGCAGGAATGGTTTCCTTCCTTTCCTCTGGCTTTGCTCACTGTTGTAAAGCACTCCCTGTTGTGCTGGGAGTGAAGGAGCATCTCTAGAGGGAGGGTTTGTGACTGAGTTCTTGCAGGTTTGCTGTGGAAACCTCTGGGGGAAATCCTGGGAAAGCTGAGCTGGTCCTGGAGGTTCAGGGATCATCCCCCCTGTTCTGTGTGTGTTTAACCTGTGCCTGGAGTTAGACAGAGCCTTGTCTTTTTGCCCTTTTCCTCATTAAATTCATTGCTTTGTGGGGCTGTGGAAGTGGCCCCTCCTCTCTGTGCCCTGTGTTTGTTGGACAGTGCCTGGTGCCCACCCCACACAACATCCCAAGAGTTGATCTTCTCTTCTGCCCACTCTGAAAGTTTTTCCTGCTCCCCACAAAGTGCTCTGCAGGCTCCTGTACAGCAGCAATCATTGTTCTCAGCTCTGCAGTTCCCAAGTGCTCCTGGGCATTGCTGCACTCATGTTGTGAGGTGAAAGCATTGAGGGATTTTCTCTTTGGGCTCTTTACTTGGAACAAGCAACTGACAAGAATAATTGATTTTAAGAGGAGGTAGGATTTCCACCTGGCAGACAGGCAGTGTTCAGGGGATGGCACACTGAATGTCCTTGTCACCTGCTGCATTTCTTCTCACTGCTTCTCCTTTCCTATGGGTAGGACACTTTCCCAAATATCTAAGTTCCAGTTTTTGTAAATTTACAAGGCTAAGATTTTGTGAATTCCTCTCGTGGGCACAGAGAGCATAACTTTATTTCCATCAACCTTCACCCTACAGAAAACTGCTGTGTCTGGGAGAGTGTCTTTAATATTTCACTCTTCCTATAGGGATTATCATTCTTTAATTCCATTCTTTGGTTTTGGCAATGGCCAAATTGTAGATGGGATGAACATTAAGATGTGGGAAATGCAAACTTCTGCCTCAGCCAGTTAAACACAGAGTGAATTCTAGGGCATGATTCACCTGGCTGGAAGGTAGGTTGCTGAAATAGCCAGATGAATCACACTCCAGATGTGCCTCTTTCTCTTCACTGGCTATCAGGGAGTCCAGATGACTCCCTCAGCTGCAGTGTGGGAGAACCTGACTTTATGGCAGAGAAGCTCTGTCCAAGGTCTTTGGCTGAATACCTCTGACCACAGCACTAAGCTCAGCCTTGAAGCCAAGAGATGTGAACTTTCTGGAGTGAAGAGCTCCTGTGTTGAATTCTCTGAGAAAATAATATTTCATGCTGACCTTTCTCCAGTTTGTCATCTCCTGCTGCTGCAGATGTCAGGTTCTGTCTCCATAACCCTGCCCTGAGAGAGCTGCCTGGCTCCATGGATGCAGCAAGATGTCTTGCAAGATAAATTAAACTGGATCTTTTCATTTGAGGCCCTGACATTCTCTCAATGGGCTCAGCACGTGGCATGGCTGGAGCTCCAGTTCTTGCCGTCCTTTTGGTACAGGCTGAGCTGGATTTGTGTTCCAAAAGGGCAAGGCTTGCTTGCAGGATTCCTGGGATGTGGATCCCTTCCTGGAGCTGAGAGCAAGGGCCAGGGGCTGGGCAGGACCCTGCTGGCAGTGATCACTGAGAATCAAGGACTTGGAGCCTTTCTCCTTGAGATCAAGAACACTTTGCAAAGCCCCCCCAGCTCCTGACATCCCCTGAGAGCACCTTCCAGGCCTGTGTGTTAACAGCACAAAAGGGCTGAGGTGTCCCTCTGTCTGTCCCTCTGTGTCCCTCTGCAGTCCCTGCCTGCTCCTCGGAGCTGGGATTTGTGCCTCGGGCTCGGGAATGGATTTTTGCAAAGTAGGCTGGGAGGGTTTGAAGCACAGTCCCTCTGAAGTTTGGGCTCAGTGACGTTTCTGTGGCAGTTTGTGCCCAGAACTGGCTGTGTGTGAAGTGACAGCAGAGTCTCTGTCAGCTGAAGCAGAAGCAGCAGGAACACGGCTCCTGCGTAATAGCTCTGTTCCTGGTTCCTCATCAGTGCAGAAGGGACTGAAATACCCAATGGCATTAACAAAAGGAACAAGTGTCAGGCCAACCCCGTTCATTTTTTGACAAGAAAACTGATTTTCCAGCCAAAGAGAACGTACTCTAGAGCATTTACTGAGAGGAGCTGAGTGCAGGATCCCTGTGAGCCACGGGTGGGAGGTGGCCGTGGGGAAAGGGGGACATGTGAGGCATTACTGGGAGATCTCTGTGACACTGCAATAAATATTTCATGCTGTTCCACAAATCTCTGCTAAAGTCCCTTTGGGAATAGTATTTGCAATTCTGGTCATCTGTGTTCCAGAAAAACACAGGCAGGGAATGTGAAAGCCTGAAAGGGCTGGTGAAGTGCCTGGGGGAAGGAAAAGCTGGGGGCTGGAAGGGCAGAACTTCCTTACCTGGGAAACCAGACCTGGACAGTGTCCATGAATATGGCAGAGGGGAAGCCCTGGTGAAGGAGAAGAGCTCAGTCCTGGCACAAGAACAGATAAATGGTACCTGGTCTCAAATTTATTGTGGGGTTTCTTCAGCCCTGAAGTCTCATCCCCTCCAGATCTGTCCTGGGGGTCTCTGTGCTTTAAACTGATCCTTATTTATGAGAGCATCCAGGAACCCTGACTGGGAGCAGAGCAAGGGGCTGTGAGGAGGCACTGGAACACCTCTGAGCATCCAGCTGTTGCACTGGGCTCAGGAATCAGTCTCTGTAACTGGTACTTCTCCAGATGTGGCTCCCCTGCTTTGCTGAGCCAGCTCTGGGGTGAGCTGGGGGTCCACCACCATCTGACTGCAGCTGCCGCTGGTTTGGGTGGGACCCTGTGGTGCCCAGCTCCCTCCAGCTGTGTCTCAAAAGCCCAGATGTGGGATGACCCCTCAGTGAAGCAGGAGATACCCACGAGTTCAGCCATCCCCTGAGGGCTTGTTCTGTGCCTGGTCCAGGACCTTGTGAGGCTCGTGAGGCCAATCCCCTGTATGACACACAAAGGGGACAAAGGGGACCAAGGTTTCTTCTGCAGCTGATTTTGGATTAGAAGGGACAATTTGTCAAAGTGGAAGTGGGAGGAGCACAGCTTTGCTTTGCTGCCCCACTGAGTGGATCTGTCTGGATTTGGAGGATGAAAGGCACTGCCAGGTTAAGCCTTGTAGGTCTTGCTGCTTTGTGTGACTGAGTCCACAACTGCAGGGCTGGGACTGCAGCTCCAGCTGTCCCAAAGCCAAGGAGATCAGAGTTGTAAAGGAGAGCCAGTCCAAGGCAAATGGTAAATCAGGCCCTTTAATCTGTTGACTGGATTGTCTGGATGACTTCAGTGTTCTCTGTTGATGCTGAGAACCTGGAGCTGTGCTGGAAGGTCTCCTTCAGGTTCCCACTGTGCAGGCAGTGATTAACAGGGGTTTGGGGATGCCAGACTTGCACCAGGAGCTTCTCCACTTGCACACCCACAGTGAGGGGTTATTGTCTGTGTGCCTTGTGTTCCTCCCCCAGCTGAGGGCACTCTCAGAGCCTCAGCTCAGCAAGGTCTGGAATGGCCACAGGGTTGAGCTCTGTCCCATTGAGCTCAAACTGGGACTTGGAGGCAGCCCAAGTCCATGGTCAGGGTGTCTCAGTGGCAGAACTAAAGAGCCCAGGATGGCTCTGACAGGCTGATTAGCACATGGGGAAAATCTTTTTTTGCTGGGGCAGCCTCAGTGCTCAGCACAGAATGCCTGCAGTGGGCAGCACATAAACACAATTCATTGCTTTGTTAAAAGCACACAGCTGTCACTCAGAGGGGCAGGGGGTGTCCTGGCTGCATGGATGGCTGCTGGTGTGGAAGGCACCAGTGCTGGGATGCTCTCTCCTACAGAGCAGGAGTTTCATGGCTGTCACAGAGGAGACCTGGGCTGTGCTGGTGCACTTCTGAGGCTCCATGAGCTCCACAGAGATGTTCCTGAGGTCCTGTCACACACCAGGCTGGCCTCATCCAGTGCCCAGGGTCCACAACCTGCTCCATGCAGCCTGTCCCCACAGCCAGGAGCAGCAGGATTGCCCTGGGCTGTGCTGCAGGCCAGGGCTGGGCAGGTCAGCAGCGTGTCACAAGGGAGGGGTGTCAGTACATCACCAGCACTAAAACAGGCAGCCTCCAGTTTCAAAAACCCTTCTAAATACGTGCACTAACTTTGCTTGGATCTGCATGGAAAGCCTCTGACATTTCAACCAAAGTGAAAATTCCTCTGCAGGACACCATTGCTTGTTTTTGGGCACTGCACATTGTGTCAGTGGCATTGTCCCTGACAGATGTGCCTGTATGGAGGGGGAGGGAGGTGCCAGGCCCTGGGGAACGTGGGACACAGCACCTGGAGCTTGCCTGGCATGGCTGGCAGCAGGATGAGGGTGGTGGGAAGGGCAGGGCAGGGTGGAGCTGCCATGGAGATGTGGTTTGGCTGTGAGCTGTGCTGCTGTGCTGCTGTGCATGTGAGGGGCTGGGGCTGCAGCCGTTCCCTGACTGTGCCTTTCTCTCCCCAAGCTGATCAGTGGTGGTTCCATTGTCAGTGCTGAGGCAGTATGGGATCACGTCACCATGGCCAACCGGGAGTTGGCGTTTAAAGCAGGAGACGTCATCAAGGTCCTGGATGCTTCCAACAAGGACTGGTGGTGGGGTCAGATCGACGATGAGGAAGGATGGTTTCCCGCCAGCTTCGTGAGGGTGAGTGATTTTCTGCTTTTTACTGCCCTAAGGAATCCCTGCCCATGCTCAGCACATCAAGAACTGAGCTCTCACTCAGTTTTTCCTGTGTTTGTTCTCACTGATGCTGATTCCCACTTCTTTGCCTGTTTTCTGTCCAAAAAATGGGCAGCGAAGAAGGTTTCTGCTTGCTGCTGCCTCCCCAGCACACAATTGTTTCCCCTCTGGTGCAGCTCTTGTGTTTCCCCCAAGTTTGGCCAGTGCCAAGAGGGAGAGATCCATGACTGGAACTGGAGCTGGGCTGCCCAAAAACGTTCATGCTGTTACTCTGGCCTGGGATAACAAATTGTGTTTGGGATTTTGGGATAACAAATTGTGTTTGGGATTTTGGGATTTTGGGATAACAAATTGTGTTTGGTATTTTGAGTCTGACCCTGGAGCCAATGGTGGCAACAAGTCTGGAAAATGGATTTGTGTCATGTGTGATTGAGGTGAAAACCTTCTTGCAGAAACACTCTCACCTGTGTCACTAACACTGTGCTGCAGCTGGAAAGGCTGAACAGAGCAATCTCATTTTGTTTGCTTAATTTAAACACTGCAATATTCTGGGCCAGTTTAACCTCTCAGTGCACAGACCAGTGCTGATTTCTTTGTGATTCTGGGAAAAAGATTTAACAGCCCTTTGCTCTGGAGTCACAAACAAACAGTCTGCAGGAGGTTTAAGAATAGTCTGGAAAACACTGTCCTGTTTTTTTAAAAGCACGCCAGAAAAACAAATGAACCAGTGTCTTTAGGGCCCCAGCCCATGGATCATGGTCTTGGCTGAACTCCCCATCTCTCCCTACACTTTCCTAAGGCTGGGAAGGTGGTTTTAGAAACTGGGGAACAAAGGGGAGGGGAATCAGTGAATCTCAGACAAATGTCTGGAACAAATCCTGGATCCTCATCCTTGGTGCTGAGGGTCAGAACAGCCTGACCAGGCAGGTTTCTTGCCTGTTCTGTCCAGTATCCCAATGAGAGCAATCCTCCATCAGCTCTGCAAGAGGCTGGCTTGGCTGTTCCATCTGGGAATCACATGTTGAGGGCAGCAGGGACCAGACACCTGCCCTTTCCCCTCCCAGAGGGGAGCAACGCCTGGCTCTGCTGCCTTAGTGAGAATTAATATTTAAAAACAACAGTTCTGGCCCGTTTTGTCTGCAGGTCTTGAAGGGAGGCTGGGGAGAAAGATTTGCCCCTCAGGTTTCCAAAGCAGCTGAATAAGGAATGAAAGAACTGCGAGAAGAGCAGATGATCACTCCCATCATGAGCAGGCTGCGTTTTTCTCTGTTGTACTTTGAGCCCTGCTTTTTTAAGATGATGCCAGAAAACTGCCTGATTTAGCCTGGGTGGTTCTAGTTTTACTTGCAAAATAATTGCTTTTCTTTATATCTGTATTTCTCTTCTGCAAGCACAGAAGGAAAAGGGAACAATATGTTGCATAGAATATGAATAGTATTCAAGTGAGGGATGTCAGACAGACCAGACAGGTATAAAGCCAAATAGGATTAATTTCAGGATATTTCAGACTTCAGGCCTCTTGTAAGTACTAACAGGAGTGCAGGAGAAGATCACTGCACAGTTGGGCTCCTCTCAAAGTCCTTTGAATCACTTCTGAGGACAAAACTGGGCTGGGAACCCAGTTTGCAATGAGCTGTCTGACGCTTCTTGCTCTCCAGCCAGATCATCTGAAAACCTTTGGCAAAGCATTTGGCACTCACAAAATCTCATAGCAGGGAACTTCACATTTGCAAGTGGAGAGGAAAACAGGAACCTGCTGATTCCCTTGGCCTCCTTTACATGCCAGCCAGGGGTGGCAAACAAAAAGGCTCCTGAATTCCCTGCACACACAGCAATTGTTGTCTCCCTGCTCACACCTGCACTAATCCTCTTAGTAGCTTGGGGCTTGGATAGAAGGAAGGTGGGGAGAGGAAACCACAGAGGTTTAGGAGCTCAGGAACTTTCAAGGAGAAACTGGATGGATAAAGCAATGTTTATTTGGGGGAAGAGAAAGAACAGCATAGGAGAAGTAAAATTTGGAGCCAGCAGGGAATGGTGAATGGTTTCTGCAGGGAGCTGCAGCACTCAGGGAGAAGGTCATGAAGGCCCCTAAGTCAGAAGGGTGGATAAGAACTCCAGAATTAAATTTAAGACCTAGCAACAAGCTGGGTTTAGACAGGTGAAGGTGTCTGTGGTGTATTTTAGTGCCTGTTCTGAGCACACTGGACACCCACAGGGCACAGCTGTGGTGGCTGCACGGTGTCTTTGAACATCCTGTCAGCTTCCAGTGGTCTGACAGGTTGGGAGGTACAGCTGAGAAAAACCAGCAGGAATTTCAAACAAGATTTCACATTCTGGTGCTGGAAATACCACTTGTTTCCCCTCTGTGGATGGCAGAGCCTTGGGCTGTCTGTACATTGTGGGCTACAGATGAGTTTTTGCATAACCAGCACATTGACACTGACTAAGAAAAACAGGCTCAGTGTTGGGAGGGAGGGATTTACAGCACAGAATTACAGTCCAGGGCTGCCCATGGAGCCATTGTTGTACCTTGAGGTCTCCTTCAGAAAGCAGAGCAAAGTTTTGATTGCAGAGCCCCTCATCAAGGCTCCTAAACAGCCCAGGTGAGACCCTCCAAACACAGGAAATCAAATGGCTTAATGTTTGGGCTCTGACATATTTCCACTGCAAGAGAAATAAAAAGAGTAAAGCTTATGGATGCTGTGCAGTGGAATCTCTCCTCAGAGACATGGCAGAGTGCCCCTGTCCTGGGCAGAGAGGGGGATTTATTCCTGTGTAAAGCTCTCCTTAGTCTCTTTGGATACCAGACTGAGCTTGCAGAATATATTTCTTCTCACCTCAGCAATGCTGAGTCTCCCTTCCTTATGTTGCTAAGCCAAGGTAAAGAGCAAAACTGGGGCTGAGAAGCTTTTACTGCAGCTTCTTGTGGTGCCTGGTGACTGAAGAGGGGAAGAAATGGTCCTGCCAAGGAGCAAGGAGGGGCTATAAAATCCTCATGGTCTCCTCTTCCAGGAGAAGGTGCAGGGGTGGAGAAGTGCAGAGGTGGCAGTGCTCCATGTTCTCTCTCACCACTGCCTTGGTTCCCCCAAGTGTTGTAATTTTAGATTGATTTTCCTGCTGAAAAGCTGCCTTTGACCCACTTTATTTTCTGCTGCTAAAGGAAAATTGCTGGATAAATTGGAGTGAGCTTTTAAGGCACTGTGGAGAAGCAGACTCTGAACCCAGAGCCTGGTCCCAGTGCCTGGCAGCTCGTGCCTTTACTGGGCAGGTGGGTTCAGCTTTTAGCTGTTCCTGCTCTGGATTGCAGGTGCAATTCCCCATTTTTCTGCCCCATCTGCTTCTTTTGGCCTGTAAAATCTGATTGTATCTTGTTGAGCTGCAGCCCTTGCATTAGCATTCCCTCAGAGCCAGGGCCATCAGATTTCCCAAAGAAAAGAGGATGGAGCTGCAGTCAGAGCCTTCTAAAGGAGATTTGATTCTCCTGTGGTAAATCCAGCTCACAAATAGCTGTGATGGAGGCAGGCCCCAGCACAGGCAGCACTGCTGGGGACAGGCTGAGCTGCAGAGTTTGGGGTTCCTGAAGGCAACTTAGGAGCACCCCAGGGCTCCCTGTGCCCCCTGCAGCCCAGACAGGGCCCCACTGGCACTTCCCTGGACAGGCTGGTTTGGAGGGGCAAGCCCAGGGTTTGGAGGCCTTTCTTAGAGTCAGGCAAAGCAGGCAGGAATCTCCAGAGCCCCTCCAGGCACAAACCTGCAGAGCCCCTTCCCTGGGCCTGCCCTTCCTCAGCCTGGCAGGGCTCTGAGGGAGCTCTGAGCTGCTGCTCTTCCCTCCTGTGTGCCACCAGGGCTTGGGCTTTGGGAAAAGAGGGGCTGAGCCCTGATTCCCAGGGTTTGGATAGATGGATGGATGATGGATGGATGGATGGATGGATGGATGGATGGATGGATGGATGGTGGATGGATGGGTGGATGGATGGATGATGGATGGATGGATGGAGGGATGGATGATGGATGGATGATGGATGGATGATGGATGAATGGATGGATGGATGGATGGATGGATGATGGATGGATGGATGGATGGATGGATGGATGGATGGATGGATGGATAGATGATGGATGGATGGATGGATGGATGGATGATGGATGGATGGATGGATGGATGGATGGATGGATGAATCCATGGATGGATGGATGATGGATGGATGGATGGATGGATGATGGATGGATGGATGGATGGATGATGGATGATGGATGGATGGATGGATGGATGGATGGATGGATGGATGATGGATGATGGATGGATGGATGGATGGATGGATGGATGGATGGAGGGATGGATGATGGATGGATGATGGATGGATGGATGGATGGATGGATGGATGATGGATGGATGGATGATGGATGGATGATGGATGGATGATGGATGGATGGATGATGGATGGATGATGGATGGATGGATGGATGGATGGATGGATGGATGGATGGATGGGTGGATGGATGGGTGGATGGATGGATGATGGATGGATGGATGGATGATGGATGATGGATGGATGGATGGAGGGATGGATGATGGATGGATGATGGATGGATGGATGATGGATGGATGATGGATGGATGGATGATGGATGGATGGATGGATGGATGGATGGATGGATGGAGGGATGGATGATGGATGGATGATGGATGGATGGATGGATGGATGGATGGATGGATGGATGGATGATGGATGGATGGATGGATGGATGATGGATGATGGATGGATGATGGATGGATGGATGGATGGATGATGGATGATGGATGGATGGATGGATGGATGGATGGATGATGGATGGATGGATGGATGGATGGATGGATGGATGGATGGATGATGGATGGATGGATGGATGGATGGATGGATGGATGATGGATGGATGGATGGATGGATGGATGGATGGATGGATGGATGGATGGATGGAGCACAT